CTACCAAACCCTCAGTTTGAGTTTAGGCACAATCGAGAGTACTCCCGAATACCTCAAACCAAGGATTTGATACCAACTTATAATTTCCCAAAACCCGGGACCCAAAATTTTTATTTTTATATTAAATAAAACATCAACCAAGTGTGTTTATCAAAACCATAAAGAAATCATACTGTATTAATAATCATCCAAAATACACCATAGTCAATAAATCGGGAAATCATGGTGTGTGCAATGTGTTCATCTCGAGATCTTCTCCTTCGAACTAGAAGTACCTAAAACATAAACTTAAAACAATAAGCACCAATCTTAAAGAGTTACCCAAAATACCCTATACGATACATACAATGGGCCTTGCCCGACAACCATTGGGCCCCGCCAAAGATCGAGCCCTGCCCAGAACAGATCTATCAGTAACCTGTGATGATCCCTGCCCAACACACTCATCATCCCCTCCTGGCATCAGGCCCCGTCCAACATACATACAACACATGTAAGAGTCACACAAAAAAATAGCATACAAATAACAATAATCCATGGGCCGACATTGGTGCCTTCGACCCACATAACACTAGGAGGAGACTCACCTCAATCTGTTGAAAAACAATAAGATAAATGCTCGGACTGCTGATCTGGGAAATCTCCACACTAAATACGATCAGATAATACCCTGATTAATAATTAGGTCATAAAACATAACCGAGAGCCTATGTCAATAATCCCTACTCTTAGGGTAAACACCATTTTACCCCTCCAGACTAAACCTAGTCTAATAAAATCCCAAACCATTAAATGGTCCAAAAAGCATCCTAAGCCCACAGTAGGTCGTGCGTTCTGTGTACCTAGCATGTACGCCCCGCGTACTTATGTTGACTGAAAACGGGTTTTAGACCTAGTATGCGTGGCATACTCAAAGTACACTCGACGTACTGGTCAGAGTCCCAAACCTTATCCAAAGGTCTTAATCCCTTAAGACCTTAATGTCCAAACCTCATATCTACATCTAAATATGGTCTTAATCCATAAATTTTGCAACTTCACTTTGTTACATGTCTTATTTGGACCCAACACTTAACCCTAGGTCAAAACCTTCATAAAAAGGCCAACAACTTAAACATGGGAGACCTTTAACTCTCAAGATCTGATTCTTATGACTCCATGCACTCCTAAATGCTAAAAAGGACAACTCAAATGGTCTGGAGTAGTACATACTCCATAAGACCAAGGTTTTGGGACAATAACGTGCATAAACATGGACATAATGAGATCTAGAACAAAGAACTCCAAGGTGTGAGCTTGATACCATCTAAAGATGCACAGGAAGGTGTAGAATCTGGATCTAAGGGCTTAAATGCACCAGTCCTTCTTCAAGGAATTGCCTTCACTACCAAGAACCACCTAAAAACATACAAGATCACTATAAGATTTAACGACATTATCCTACACATGATTTGGGGATGGGGGCGATGGTTCTCACCCTCAAGATTTGGTGACATTACCTTTATAGGGCTCATTGTATTATTTACAAGGATCATAAGATTCTGAGGTATCTGATGGATCAGCCGAATCTAAACATGAGGCAACGAAGATGGTTGGATGTGGTGAAGGATTATGATTGTGAGATCCTTTATCACCCAGGGAAGGACAACATGGTGGCCAATGCTCTCAGCCGCAAGGCATTGTAGAAACAATAAAACTAAATATCGATAGATTCTAAATTGTAAGATAAATCAGACAACAAGAACAAAGATCAAAGATGTGTCAAATGCTTAATATTATCAAAGCTCTAGAAGATTTCAACATGAACTTCTCTATGAGAGCTACGTAGGGTAATATAAAATGATTAACCCTAATGATACATGCACGCACATTAAATAGTCTTACCCTAGCAAACTATAAACACAGATATATAGGCCGAATCCATTAATAAATGAGAATATTATAGTACAAAACACTTTTACACAATACATTAATAACCCAACAATCTCCCGCTTTTTGTCAAACAAAGAAAGGAGATTCTTTAATGTTGAACCTTCTGAACCTTGAACAACTTGGTCATTAGATCCAGAAGAGTGTTCTGAATGACAATAAACCACTTGATCATATCACCGAAGCATTTCAGATCTCCTTCATTGTTTGTTTTTCATGCTACGGTTAAGTCAATGATATGCTTCAAGGCTGTAGTGGAGTATAAATGTTTATCTAGTAAAAAGAACAAACTATTCTTAACTTTATCACCCTCTCTTCTCTGATATACCACACTCCAATCTGCTTTCTTAATTTTATCCAGTTTTCTCTTCTCAAAGTCGGCCGTATCTTTTTCAGATTCACAACTGGTTTCTTCTTCAAAGCAATTTCAACATCCAACTCTTCTACTTCATGAATGTAGCAAATCAAAATTCTATTCAAATGAGAATAAATCGGATCATACTTCACTTCGTCCTTGGAAAAAATCATAAACAATGAAATCCAATCATTCAGATTCATCCACGGGAGATCAGCAAGAGTGAAGTCATATTCAATGCAACTAGCTCCTCAAAATCCTTTAAATTTGAAATTAGTGAATGTTCAGTCGAAAACGGAGCATAGAAATACATTACGACCATCTTCTTTTTGCTCCATATTTTGTATCGAGGTTTGCAATGCTTGAGATAAAATGAGAAGAGCTTATTATTTAAAACGTAGTCCGAAAGTGGAGCTTTCTCAATATGTTCAAAGCGTCAGAACAGGAAGGCGTTCGGAATGAGAGGAAAGTCGAGCTAAGAGTCAGCGGTATTGAATAGTTCAAATGATACCAACGACTCCAACCAGTGAATGCTCTGATCATCGATAACTTCCTTCTGAATTCTTTCTAAGATCCAAGGAGGGAACAATGTCATATGTGTTGTGAGAGTAACTTTCGCAACTCTCTCTTGTTCTTCCTTTGCTTCTAATTCTTTGCGAAGAATCCGAAAATCATCAAGTAGCTTGTCGTGATTCTTGCTTACCAGTTTTTCACCCTACGATAGAACTTCTTCTTCATCATCATCATTAATCAACTTTTCTTTCCCTTTAGATCTCGAAGCTTCATTAACCTTTAGATCTATTTTTGTTTTGTCCTCATGTTGTTCACCAGTAGGCTTCTTAATTTGGGGCTTAGGTTGTTCATCAGTGGGCTTCTTAACCTGAGACATAGGTTGTTCTTTCTCTTTAACCTATTCTCCCCCTTTTTCGGAAGAGCATCACCTTCCGAAACGCCTTCAGTTCGGTTTAACATGGCAAAAATTGTCTTGAGCTTCTCAGTTAGGTGTTGGTGAACTGAAACGGTAAGAATGGAATCCAGAGTTTCCACCATATGATGTAGATATTGATTAATTTAGGAAACAAAGGTTTTGATGACAAATTTCTTAGACTCCAGATTATCCAAGTGTTTATTGGCATAGTTAAGTTTGAGAGAAAGAACCTTGACCTTTTTCAGTCTTGACAACCAACTTATCCATTTTGTAGTTCACCCCGAACATGAGAAAAGGTTTCTCTCTCATTTTGTAAAGTAGTTTCGAGACTCATAATAACTTTTTTGGCCTCTTCAATGTTCTTATCAGCTGAGCTGCAAAAATCAGCCATGAACTGTTTGACTCCATTATGTAGTTTTTCGACTTTTTCGGTCTTATCAACAATGGTTTTCTCAGATGCTACAATATTATTGGTTGAGGAAGCAAGCACCTTTGCATTCTCTTTGGTTAGCATTTCAAAAGTTGCCTAATGAGACTGTAACATGTACTCATAGTTGGCAGAAGATTTGGTAGACTCCAAAATCTTTTCCAACTTGTCACTCAAAGTATTAAACTACCCTTTTGTCATTGGGGCTTCGTCATCATCACTTTCCTGATCGACTGTGAATAGGCTAAAAATGAAATTTTGAACATCATATTAATCATACCCATATAGAACATCTGGATTGTCTTCGCGTAGAGGAGAAGTTGTTGAAGTGCTTGGATCGACAATAACACCGAAATCATATGCTCTTGTATCAGATATTGGGACAATAAATATCAGAGTACTAAGAAAGGTTGTTGTTGTTGTTGTTGTTGAGTCGGTATAGAATGGAGTGGAGAGGGAAACATAAATCTGTGGTTGAGAACCACCCAAAAAAATCTTTGGTAGTGGAGCAATTGTGATTGGAACAGTGGTGGTGATCGGAGATGAGGGTGGGGTATGCATTTAGTAAGAATCAAAAAATGGAATAGTAAAAAAGGATGGAGTAGATACTGTCAGAATTGGTGTGGAGGTTTGAGGTTCTGAGGTACCAATAGCGTCTTCAATTTCATGGTAGATGGTATCATCCCTTCGGAAATTCGAAATAATCTGTGATTCTGAATCCTCCTGGACTTCTGGAGTCGGAGATCTAGGTTTTTGAGCCTGTTTCTTGACTTTCTTCTTAGGAGTTTTAGCAAACTCATACGAACCTGCTCTTCCTTTATGCTTACCGCCTCTTTTAGCTTTGTTGGTCTCTTTTATTATCGTTCGTAAATCATCAGACATAGGACATGGACCAGAAGAAGGTTGCTTTCAGTAGTCATTGATGATTACATTGTCTTTAGGCACTTGGCGAGCATGACCTCCATAATCGATCCAAGAAAAGAAAATTTAGAGGAATCAGTCACTATGAAGGATGATGTTTGTAGAATTAGAATAACAGCAACAACCACATAATCTACAATAGGAATCTTGAAGTGTAAAAGGGCTCTATGGAAAATTATTGACCAAAACCGAGTGCAAGAAATCTTAGTGTTGTGAGTAGAATATGCAGTACTCTGAATTAGTCGTGTCCAGAGGATAGGCCTATAATCCAAGTTGATACCATAATATACACCATAAAGAACTGTGTAGAAAAGCTTACTCGCACTGTTAGAGTCGGCAACCCTTTTAGAAAGTCTATTGAATAGTAATGTTAACAACCCATTCCACATAGTAGGAAGATTAGGCTTCTTGAACTTGGATAGCAATGTGATTTCCCCAAGTTAACCCATTTGGTAGAGCATGTGGATTAGATTAGAAGATGAAATTGAGTCCGGATCGACTAGCCCTTTAGTGGCATCAAACCCTTGAATTCTGCAGAATCAAAATTTAGTGATGGAGTTCTTTCAAGAATAAACCTAAAAGTTGATCACATCATTAGCAAGAACTTAAGTAGCAGACAATACGCCTTTGAGAGATGGACGAGAGGAATGGATTCTTCCATGGTCAAAGCTTGAGCCAGTGGCGAGAAACGCAAACACTCAATCATTGGGCGTAAGGCTTCATTGTAGCGTGAGGCAGTAAGACTGAGGATCAAATTCTGCCATGGTTTGACGTTCAACATAACCATAGTGGAGGATTGATCAGCAAAAGCCACAGTCTTGGATGAACCAACCATGGAAGAGTTTAGAGACGATGATGAACAATGAGAGAAAAAGGGCTTTTGCTTTGACAAAATTTTGAATTATTTGTAGCCTGTGAGAGGAAATAAACCGTTGAAAACCCCTTTTATATGTCATGATAGGTAGAGAAAATCATGCGTAGACGATTCCATATCCCGATAAAGTAGCATTGATAGACGTGACGGATGTAGATGCCAGACGGCGTTGTAACTGATGTGTGTGATGTCAGGAATTTGAAAAGACCTGCTGTATTTAAAATCTTATCCCCAAGAAACCGCCACTTCAAATCTGCTATTTCAGAATTAATAACCAATCACCACAACCTATCATTGAATTATTGTAATTAAACGGAACCAGAACAAGACTTGGAAAAGTCAAGAGATTTTTGTGCAACAGTGTGCAAAGAAAAAGAAATAAAAAAAGTTTATATTTGGGGGATTCTATGATGTTAATTAAAAATCAACATAAAAGAAGTTGGATCCCAGGAAATGATCGGAGTTAATAGAGACTCAGAAGTGCTTGTGTGATTTCTTGTTGAGTTACAATCATCTATTTGTTAAGAAATAGTGAAAGGCCTCTTTTAAACTGGCTTCCAGGGTGGCTTCAGCTTCAACCAAATTCCGAAACTCAACATATGTCCGAAAGTCTGTAAGAAGTACTTCTCTGACTAGTGTAGCCATAAAAATAAGTAAGCTTTGGATATATCTTTCGGGAAGAAAAGTTTTTGGTCCAGAGATTTTCATAAAGATCATTATAAAAATAGATTTCATGCTTTTGATTGTACTAACTAAAAGGTTATTTGCGTCAATTCCTTGGTGAAAAATCTAGAACATATTAATTGTTCACCGTCAATTTAGAAATAGGTTTTGGATTTTGTGTTTCACTCAAATCATGGTGATAATGATTTATAGATCATGAACACAAATGTTGTGCAACCATATATCTCAATGGTAAATTATGAGAGTCTTAAGGGTTACATTGTATGAAAGTGAGGTTGATGGAGAAATATTAGAGATGGTTCTAAAGAGAAAAGTGTACCTCTACTATAAAATGGTGACAAAGCAGTCAAATCTTAACTCATTGTGAAAAGAGTAAGGCCTTGTTTGTTTACCTCTTAGTTAGAAATTTAAGAGGTGACCTCTTAAAAATTAGGATATAGCTTGTTTGATGTCATCTTATTTTTTGCCTCTTAATTTTTCTAAAACCTCTTAATATTTCAGAGATGGACTAGAGTCTGAAAAAAAATAAGAGAGTTGTTCCTTTTTTACCCATCGCTGCTCCTTCCGCTCTTTGTATTTATCACATGCTGCTTTTCCCTCCCACCATTCTCCAACAAAATGCCTTGAAACCCTCGGTGAAAAATCTTGTGCGAGACCCACCTCCGACATTCACCCTCTTCCATCGCCAACAACGGCTCTGCAGTAAACCCTGATTCTTTCCCTCTCATTCTACTTCACTCGATGCATATTACATTCTCCCTTATTGCTGATCGGACCTGCAACCCTCCACCACCGTGGGCGCCTCTGCCTCCGCCATCACTTCCGCCAGCCCCGCCACCAGCGACACCCTCCACTTCCATGATATCTCATCGACAACATTTAGGTAAAAAGGTTATTTTGTTCCTTCAAATCTCGTCGAAAGCAAGCTTTTTTCTTTTGTTCATGCCTTAAAAATCTTTAATAGTTCTTGCCCTAAAAAAGCTTGAATAGTTGGTTCTTGCCCTGAATCGGGTTCCAACAGCTCCTTCTAAATCAGTTTTGATCTACGACTCGTTCCCTTATACAACATAATTATCTCTTAAAATTTGATCTCTATCATTGTTTGTTTGATCACATATTTTGTTTATTGATGAATTTGATTTCCATTATATGTTATTGAGCAATTAATTATAAAAAAATATATGTGTATACACTCCAGGAAGAAATTTTCTTATTATATACTGTTTTGGAATTTAGAATTCCCGTGAAATTAGCTCTCAGATTTGGTTATTATAACTGTTGCTGTGATCATTATTGGTGGTGTGATTTATGAATTTTGAAATGTATGATGTGCAGGAAACACTCTTGAACCTGCTACTTTGTAATTATCTCCATTACAATATACATGAGCAAGTAGAGAAGCTAATATCAAAGGCACCACCATTTTGAATTTTTCTATCTTACATCAATATGTTGTTTAGACCCTTTTAGGGCCTCCATTGATGGAGAATTTTGAAAGCAGATATATGAGTTTTAAAAGTTCTACAAAAGGAGTGGGAGAAGATAAGAAGGAAAAGGTTATTGATATGAAAAAGATGAATAAAATGTGAATAAAATGAGACGTGAGAATGTATTTGCTTGGCAAATGAAAGGGTTGATTAAAGTTGTAATGAAGTTAGGGTTTTCTTCACTTTCTACTGCACTTGAGGAAAATGAAGATGTTGTGGGAAAAAATGAACAAAAGGAAGGGATCATTACATAGGAAGCTATTAATGTTGGTTATTCCATATTTGAGAAAGAAGTATTTATTCACATTGATTTTAGTTTAGATTCTATGTATACAAGTAGTATTGGTATTGATCAAATATATGAAGTTGGACCTTATTTGATTTGTATTTGTGATTAATTTTGATTTATGTTTAATTTGAATTGTGTATGGCGTTTATAATTTTCCTTATAATTATTCAAGAGGATTATTTGATTATTTTATAAACATAAACTTTGAACTTAGCAAAAAATTATACAGAAGGGTAAAATGGTCATTTTTATAATTCAGCACAACAATTAAGAGGTTCCAACCAAACAACATATAAAAAAATCCAGATCTTAAAAATTCAGGCCCTCTTAGAAATTCAGACCTCTTAAAAATTCAGATCTTACAAATTCAGATCCTGCCAAACAGCCCCTAAGGTAGCTTAATGAGTTATGAGAATATCAACCTGATTGGGAAGAAACAATCGGAGTGAGAGTCTCATTAAAGCTTGAAAAATAGAGTCTTAGAGGCTTAGGATAACATGCAACAAAATGCTTATAGGGACACTTAGATAGGACAAATATTCAGAGTTATATATCTGCCCCTTTGTTCTGAATTATGGTAACAAGAATTTGTACCTGATGCTAAAATGTATTATGAAAATAACATACAAAGAAAGAAAAATATTTTTGTAATTTTAGGTTTTCTAAAAGAATAATATATATATATATATATATATATATATATATATATATATATATATATATATATATATATATATATATATATATATATATATATATATTTGTGATTTTTGATTTTTCTTAAAAAGATAAAATAGAAATAAATATTTTTTTTTTGTGATTTTTAACTTTTCTGCAAAAGAAAATAAAACAGAAAATAAAATAAAAATATTAAAAATAAATAAATTTAGTAGCATAAAATATATAGTGGCTTTCAAAGCATTTCGAGGCTCGCATAATCGGAAAACACATAATATTCAAAGTATACAGAGGTGTTCTGAAACCCAGATGAGCAGAGTGCTATGAACTATTCCAAAGCTCGGATTATGAACAGTAAATTCCGAATAATTCCAAATGCTCGGATGTGAATAGTAAAATCTGAATCATTCTGAGTGCTCGGAATGTGAATAGTAACTTCCTTCCAGTTATGAAAGGGATTTTGGAACCGAATCACTTCTATCATTCCGAGACTTTGTAAAATACAATTGAATGTTGTTTCTGGTAAGGCCTTTGTGAAAATACCAACCAATTGATCAGAGGATCTTATAATGTGTACTTCAACGTTTCCATTCTCAACGTGATCCATGATGAAATGATATCTTAGTGCAATATGTTTTGTCTTCGAGTGTTGTATTGGATTATAACATATCTGAATTGCGCTTTCTGAATCGTAGTATAATGGAATCCTCTTCATATTTATCCCATAATATCTAAGCTAACTTTGAATCCAAACAACTTGTAAGTGCACGATACATCAACGACATACTCAGCTTCAGCAGTGGAAAAGGAGACACATGTTTGCTTCTTAGATTTCCATCTAACTAGTTTTCCATCCAAAAACTGACATCCTCTGGTTGTACTTTCACGATCAAGATTGCATCCAACAAGATCACCATCAACGTATACTTGCACAAAGATTCCTAAGTTAGAAGGTTACCAGATTCCTAAAGAGGTGGTTCTTTTTAGGTATCGAAGAATATTCTTGATAGTAGTTATATGTGGCTCACGTGGATTCACTTGAAACCTGGCACGATAGCAAACATTATATATGGACGACTAGATGTTAGATACATTAAATATCCAATCATTTTTCGATAAAGAGTCATATCTGCTGCTGGCTTGTCCAAGGATGGTGTAAGCTTCGTTACAAACGCGATTGGAACTTTGACCTTTGAATCACCCACCATCCCGAATTTCGCAAGCAATGTCTTAGTGTAGGCTTCCTGGTTGATGAATATACCCTCCAAACTCTGTCTAATATTTAAACAAAGGAAAACGTTAATAGGACCCATTGAGTTCATCTCACTACAAGAAGATTGGACAACAGCGGTGACATGTAGTTGGAAAAAATTCATGATATTGAAGAAAGAAAGAGAGAAAAACGAGAGGAAGGTGGAAGGTAAGGAAAAAATGGCAGAAAGGTAATCTGTGAAGGGGATATCTACGTTTAGCATTAGCAGCGACGAGCTTTAGCGGCGACGCTAGGGCAATAGCGGCGACACTAGGGCATTAGCGGCGACAAGTGGAGGGAAATGTCAGTGCGCCTTTTTGCTTTCCTCAACAGCCGTTAGATCGAAAACAAATCAGACAAGAGGGGTGAAAATGATGCGTATCGCTAAATCAAAGCATTAGCGGCGACGCCTTTAGCGGCGACACCTAGCAATAGCGGCGACATGTAACGCGTCATTTACATGTCGCCGCTATTGCTAGGTGTCACCGCTAAAGGCGTCACCGCCAATGCTTTGATTTCTTGTAGTGTCTAAAATTTAGTTTCTTCCATTAGTTTTCAGAATTCGGCTGTT